CGTGTGTTTACTGTGCAGGAAACCTTCGGCCCAACACAACTTGGACCGAATCCAGTCTTCTCCATTTCAGCGGACCTTCGGCAAGGTCCCATTGTTTTCACCCGAAACATTAACTATGGTTGTTGAAACCTTTAATTTGATTTAAAGTAATACATTATCATGGAGTATTGGGCGGAGTTGTTGATTATTCTAAGGTGCAAGGACTAAGGAGTATACATTTTCATGCATTTTAATTTAAAACTCCTACCATTTGAATAAAAAAAAAAAAAAGCAACCAAAGAAATAAACCCAAAATTCGATGCAAAACAGCAAATAGAAATCGAATTAGGGAAAAACCCAAAATTCGCAAGAAAACCTGATTGATCGATCAAATTGATTGGAAAAAAAAAAATTCAGAAATTGATTGTAGAGATTATAATAGAGATTAATTTAGGGATTAGAGTTTAGAAAATAGAAATTGATTTTAGGGATTAGAATGATTTTGGCTCCGATACCATGTCAAACTAGAGAGAATAGAGTGAATAAAAGGCCGTATCCGTATATTAGAATATGAACAAGTATATATATATATATACAACCTAGAGAGATTGGGGCTCGTAACATAACAACAACCCATTAGCTATACATATTATATACAAGTGTTTTTTTCGTTTCTTTTTAATATAACATGCCTTTTCGACATACATTTTGAAGAATAGATTAAGCAATGTAAATAAATAAATTATTCAAAATAATTTATAATTGTAATCTAGATGTCCAAATTATTTTGATAAAGTTGCTCATTTATCAACTCTAATCTAGTCGTTTCAAATAATGCCAAAAAAAGGGTGTGACATTTAAAATAAAACAAAAAAAGTATATTTTAATACAGAGTATCATACAAATTAAATCATATCTCTTATATCATGGTCCCTACTCCTTTACATACTTTTTTTTAAAAAAATTAGGGTAGTTAACGCTCGCGAATGCACGATGCAAGCACATATAGCTAGCTGTGTCTGGAATTATCTTTCAGTTTGGTTTTATGTCATAACTTTATTTATTAGTAACATTAATGAAGCAAAATATGAAGGGGAAAAAAGAAAATTGGAATATAAATGTCCGCACTATTTATATGAATTATCTCAAAAATTTTAAAAGACAGGAAAGAAAAAAAAAGCCAAAAAGCTATGTTGGTAATAAAAAAAGGAAAAAATGCCACACAAGTGATTCACATGCATGAATGGAGGTATATATATAAATAGAAAATTTAAAAAATATATTTTACATAATACTATCATAAGTACGTGTTTGGTTAAACTTTTAAATTTTATTAATACCCCAAGTAACTACCGCACTTATATATTATTATATTTAAGGTAATGATATATGTAACCCTTAGGGCTACAAATAAGCATTTAATGTCTTTTCTTTTTTGGTGTAAGTTTGGAAATACATGACAAAATCATGTGAAGAACAGTGTAATAAATGAATATATTTCATTAATACTTTTCTCTTTTAACTTCTTATGCATAGTCCTTAGGCCCTGTTTGGTTTGATGTAAAATATTTTCAATGAAAATTTAGGTTTTTTAGAAAACATATTTTCAAGGAAAAGCACTATTGCAAATTAGTTTGCTTTTGTTTGATTGCATACAAGAAATGTTCAAGAAATATCAAAATATGAGTGGGAATGTGAGGGAAGTAATAATAAGGAGATAAGGAGGATGGAGTAAAAGTGATTTTCCTTGTTGTGCAATCATTAAAAATGCAATTTTTCACCATGAGAAAACTGTTTTCCACACCTTCACAAACCAAACAAAGGAAAATGGAAAAAATCATTTTACATGAAAATATTTTATATCAAACCAAACAAGGCCTTAGTGCTACATATAGTATAACATTTTCCCTATAAGTTTACACCTAAAATTATTTGTCGGTCATTTTTTTTAATTTGGTGTTTAGAGAGCCACAAGGGCGGGTGATGAGAATCGATCCCAGGATAACCTGAAAGCGGAAGGGGAGTTCTAACCACTTGAACTATTTGTCGGTCATAATGTAACAAACTAACAATTTAAAAAACCAAAGAGAGTAATAAAATACTAAAGTGAATAAATTTGACAACTCTAACTATATTCCATCCAAATTGTGTCAACTAAAATACTACTAAATAGAGACGGAGGGAGTATAAATTAGTGGGAATTTTGGCGTGGTTCCCCGCTAGTCACCCTATGTTACGCTATTGACAAATTAAGACATGGATCTTTCATGTATACTTCAATCCAGCTAAAGTAGTGAAATTTCTCTCTGGTCTTAGAACCTCGTGTATAAAGGCAAAGTTAGAACTTTCAATTAAGTTGCGAGATTCGAAACGAACCTTGTAGCTAGCCGTGTCAAATTTGTCCATTGTCAATAATGTATGAGTTGTTTTTTTTCCGACTCAAATGTCTGAAACCAAAACAAATGAACACAGTATGTCTGAATAATCAATTACTCCCTCCGTTTATAAATACTTGTTCCATTTCTATTTTTTGCACTATTCATTTGTCCTACTTTGACTAATATTTGTGCTTTATACATAACAAAAAAATATAGTCTTGTGGGTACTTGTCGGAATCATTTCATTGAATAGATTATTAATTTTTAATTGTTAAAATTTATACTTATTGATAATTAAATATATTAGTGATCAAAGATTAGCATCGACATGCGTGTCCAAGAAAAATGGAGGAAATATTTAAAAACGGGGGAGTAACTTTGTACATGAGTCATCAGTGTTTGTACACAATTATAATACGAGTATGAATCTTTATCCCATTATTTAGCTCCACACATTTCTATGATCAACTTTACTACATACGCCTCATAATATAATGAACCATGCCAAAAACATGGCATTTAGTTGTCACAAAATTACAATTTGAGATGATCGATCACCTAATAAAAGGAATAGCTTCAAGTGGATGAGCTTTTTGAAGAGTCATTCCAAACTTTTCTTCCATGTCTAAATCTTCTAGAAGTTCTCCATGACCTTTCTTCCAGTTGAATGAATGTATTAGAGTAGCCAACATTAGATGCAACATCCTGTAAGCTAATAGTATTCCTGGACACATCCTTCTTCCAGCTCCAAAGGGTATGAACTCGAAGTCTTGTTTCTTAGCATCAATTTCTTTCTCCAAAAACCTTTCAGGTAAAAAACATTCAGGGTTTGGCCATATACTTGGATCGTGACTTATCCACCATACACTAACCCACAAAGTTGAATTTTTCTGAACTAAATAGTCACCTAGTTGTACATCTTTTACCGCCTTGTGAGGTATTAATAGTGGGGCCGGTGGATGCAATCTTAATGTTTCTTTCAATATTGCTTGAATATATGGTAAATTTGAAATATATGATTCTTGCATTGATCCTTTTTTGCCAAGTACTTCGTCCAACTCACTTTTAGCCTTTTCCATCTTTGTCGGATTTCGCAATAATTCTGTCATTGCCCACTCTAATGTAATAGAGGTTGTATCTGTTCCAGCTATAAATAAATCCTGAATATACATTGATATAAATTTATACATATATAATAACAAATTCATTGTGTGCTTCTTGTTAATTTGAATTTCAATTGACAAAAATTAATGATTCTATATGTATTTCAAAATATACACCCTAACATCAATGATTATTATATTGTCATGCTTATGAGCTAACATAAATAAAAATAATGTTGTCAAAGAATTTTTAAAATGTCAAACATAAAATTAATTAATTAATAAAACCATTAAGATGTAGACTATGTCAAACTAACTATGCTTCCCCAATTCACATATAGAGGAGTTCTTACTTACATACCTACTTTTATCAATATTCCTAAGATTATTTATCTCCTACATGACATAGAAAAGTGGTGCCAATTAGGTTGTGAATCAGGCTCAAGTTGGATCAATATTTGTTGGTTCATGTTCAATTGGTAATGCGAAGATTAATAGTTGCTTTTGGGTTTAAGTTGGGTTAGATCAATTCGTGTCAAGGTAGATCAATAAAAAAACATATTTTAATCTATGTGTTACTTATCTACGGATCATACTAAAAAGTGGATATTTATAGTGAACCAATCTAGTTGGGCCTATGACCCGCCGACTAAGTTGGTTAGCCTTGCCGGCTAATCGGACTGGGCTAGTAAAATCAAATAATTTGTAAAATTTCAATTGAAGAAACATTTTTTAAGATAGATATAGAACTTACCACAAGCATATGTTTGACTTCATCAAGGCTCAATTCATTGTTCTCAACAAGCTTGAGTAGAGTGCCTAGAACATCATCCTTAACATCCATTGGATTTTTCAATCTTTCATCAATAAATTTCTCAAAAATCCTCATCAACTTTCCAAAGTAAATTGTATGCCTTTTCAACACACCTTGTATATCCAAACGCCTAACGATTGGAAATAGATCGGACACATTAGGCCTTGCAGCGTCTTCTACTATATTTCGAGTCAGATCTCGAAACTCTTGCGAATTCGAGTCAGTATGACTAGCCAAATCGATCGAGAAAAACGTGTTCGACAACAAATTTAGAGAGGTAGTATTTCCTGCCTTACCAATATCAACAGGCAGACTACCTTCACAACGTTGTTGCACATACTCAACCAACTCGTTGACTTTTTTTGCCTTATAACTTGGCTGGCATCAAGCCGTTGACTTGTAAACTATTGAATGGTTACGATCTTTTTAAGGCTTCTCCAATTGGGACATACAGGGAGCCAAACCATTGAGTAAGTTTCATGGTTTAACACCCTCCCAATATCAGGGATACTCCTACTAGATAGGACTAAATCGTGTTTCGTGAACATTTCTTTGGCTACTTCCGGGGTTGATATCACTATCACTCTGTTGCTCCCGAGTTTGAGAGACATTATAGGGCCGTAAATTTTGGAGAGCTCGGAGATAGCACGATGAGGCTTGTCGCCGAGTTGGAGAATATTACCTATTATAGGCCATGGTTTTGGTCCCGGAGGGATAGGGAGTTTGTTTTTTTTGTGTTTTGATAGGAAGAATGCTAGAATAATGACGAAGGGTAGCAATTGGAGTAGTATTGTGTAAAATTCCATTGGTATGATTTTATTATGGAGCATGTCACATTTCAATGAAGAATGATGAGATTCAAAATAATGTCACTTTGATTAGATAGTTAATGTTCATTACTTTATAATTTAAAAAAAAATAAAAAAATTGTTAAGATGATAAGATCTGATACTATATATAATAATGTGTTGATGAACTTATTGAATTATATATCTTAAGCAATAAAATAAGGATACAATCATACAATGACATTAGATAGCACGTTACATTTTATTAATGCTCCATATTATATATCATCAACAATAATAATTATTGACGTTTGTTTAAACCATTTTTATAAAACCATTGCAAACTATTTTTATCATTCCTTTTTTAATACATTAATTTAGAGAGGAAATGATGTGATCACCTAGGAGAAGGAATTGCTTCAAGTGGTTTAGCTTTTTGAAGTGTTAAACCAAACTTTTCTTCCATATCTATATCAATTGAACTCACTTCGCCGTGAAATTTCCAATTGAATGATTGAAGAAGAATAGCCAACATTAGATGTACCATTCTATTAGCCAATGGCATCCCGGGACATATCCTTCTTCCTGCTCCGAAAGGTATAAGTTCAAAATCTCCACCTTTTACATCTGTTTCCCTTTCCAAAAATCTTTCAGGTGAAAACACAAGTGGGTTTGGCCATACACTAGGATCGCGCCCAATGGACCACACGTTCACCCATATTTGTGCATTTTTTGGTACAAAACAGCCACATATTTCTACATTATTATTAGCCTTATGGGGTACTAAAAATGGGGCTGGTGGGTGCAATCTAAAAGTTTCCTTTACAATTGCTTGAATATAAGGTAATTTTAAGATTTCTGATTCTTGAATGGTTCCATTTTTTCCAATAATTTGATCTATTTCAATTTGTGCTTTTGCCATCTTTTCTGGATTACGTAGTAACTCAGTCATTGCCCACTCCAATGTACTGGAAGTCGTATCAGTCCCCGCTGCAAACAAGTCCTTATGTATAAAATATTCGAAAAAAGAGAAAACACACACGTTAGATATTACTCCGTATATCAAATCGAGGGTCAAAACTCAAAAACACAACATCTTAGGGCTTGTTCGACATTGATTTTTGTTTTCTGTTTCCTTTTTTTTTTTAAACTAAAAACTAAAAATAGGAAACAAGAAAAAGATGTTTCCACTTGTTGTCAGTTTTCAAATTTTTTTTTTTTGAAACACAGTTTTCAAAATTATTATGAATTTATTTAAGAAGTTTGTCAAATCTTTAACCATTGTGAGACATATATCATATGACTTTGAAAAACAAAAAACCAAAAAACAGAAAACCACAGTGATGCCAAACGAACCCTTATAAAATGAATTTGTGTTATTCAGTTTTATAATAAGCTTAATAATAAATCTAAAAATGATTAATTAACTATAATATTATAATGTGAAACAATAAGATAATAGCTAAAAATAAAATAGGGGGGGGGGGGTAATAGTAGAACTTACCACTAGCAAATGTTTTACTTCATCAAGGCTCAAATTATTATCCTTGATGAGTTTGAGTAGAGTAGCAAGGACATCATCTTTAGGAGCATTTGGATCTCTTAATCTTTCATCAATAATTTTCTGAAATATATCCAAAGATTTAGTATAGTTTCGCCTACTTCTCTTCAATACCCCTTGCAAATCCAACCACCTAATTAATGGGAAAAAATCCGAAACATTAGGCCTTCCAATCTCTTCCATGAAATGCCGTACAAGCTCCTTAAACTCTTGCAAGCCCGACGAAGAATGGCTAGCAAAATCCATCGAGAAAAATGTGTTGGACAACAAATTAAGCACGGTTGTGAATCCTGCCTTACCAATATCAACAGCTTGGCCGGCTTCACAACATTGTTGCACATAATCAACTAGCTCTTTCACCTTCTTATGCCGTATATCCTGGCTCTCATTAAGCCGATGTGTTGTGAATAATTGAAGGGCTAAAATCTTCCTAATCTCGCGCCATTTAGGGCTTACCGGGAGCCAAACCAAAGAGACTTTTTCATGGTTTAAGGCCCTCACAGCATCTTGCACAATCCTACTAGAAAAATCTAAGTCGTGTTTAACGAACATTTCTTTGGCTATTTCCGGGGATGATATCACTATTGTAGTGAGGCTCCCAAGCTTAAGAGACATTATGGGGCCGTAAATTCTTGAGAGCTTGGCGACTACACGATGAGGCTTGTCGTCGAGAAGAAGCATGTTGCCTATGATAGGCCATGGTCTTGGCCCTGGAGGGTTGATCACTTTTGATTTGCTAAACGTCTTATATATGAACGTAATGTAAACGATGGTAAGGAGTAATGTAACAATAATGTAATACTCCATTGATATTTTATTAGTAGCTAGAATTTTAAATTATGGATATTATTTTTGGACAAGAAATTTAGTGAAAATTTATAATCAAGATCTAGAGTAGTAGTTGGACAAACTCCTATACACCATTTCCATCCCAAAAATAAATTTCTTGTGGATACACTGTATTGTACCGTGCATGATTTCGAGCCACATCTATTTTGGATCAGAGGTTTTTCAGTGCAGCAAGCCACATGGTGCGGCAGAGGTTACTTGTATTTTAGGGTTACTTGTATTCTGGGGTTACTTATATGAATTACTTTTATGGTGTTACTTGTATTATGAAGTTACTTGTATGGGTTACTTGTATGTGACACTTGTATTTTGAGTAACTCCTACAAGTAACTACAAACCAAAATCTCATACCAAACCACTAACACCCTACAAGTAATCCCTAACCAAAACCAATAACACCCATACAACTATACAAGTAACCCTAGAATACAAGTAACGCCTACAAGTAACCCCTGACAAAACCAGTAACACACATACAAGTAATCCCAGAATACAAGTAACACCTACAAGTAACTCCTGACAAAACCAGTAACACCCTACAAGTAACCCTGGTCGCACCATGTGGCCAGCCACATACAAAAATTTGTAATTTTGGATATGAATAGCTCGGGATAGGAACTTAAGAAGTTATCACTGCACCATGGAATTAATTTTTATAATATTTTCTAGTTGTGTTTTGACTAAAATGATTATAGCTACCTAAGCTATCACCAAAAAGGGCCATAGTTACATACGATCATTAAGGAGCAGTTACTTGCTTGTGGGAAAAGTAATGTATTAGTGTATTGCGATGGAAAAGTAGTTGAGCTTTTAGGGTTCCAACTACTTCTAAGAATTTAAGATCGAGTTTTAAGATTTGGATGTGACATCATTTTTTGTGGTCCCCATTAAAAATGATGTCATCAAATTCTTGTTAAGACTCTAAGACTTACACAAATTTATCACTTTAGCCTTAAGACTTAAATATTTGACATATTATGTAATAATATCCCGTATTTTCATACGTATTTTATAATAAATTAATTAAGAATTATTTAATAAAAAGGGTATTTTAGTAAATTCATTATTTGGGGCTAAAATAATATTTGAATTTTGGCGCCAAATATAAGTATTTAATCATTTGAATAATTAATTATTTTCGGATTTCTAAATTGATAATATAGGTTTAATTATCTTTTATAAGGTCGGTCCATATTTTATTATACTAACTATTTCAAGAGAAATATCTAATATACATTATGTATTTAACTAATTTTATACTATCTAAAATATTTATTTATTCAATTATTTTATTATTATTTTCGTTTTTATATTAAAATAAATAAATAAATAAATAAATAAAAACAAATATTGTGAAACGTGATTTGATCATGTTTTGAAGAGTGATTGTTATCACTTTAGTTTGTTAATTATTATATTTTAAATTAACCTCTAATTTTCTTCTTCATTATCTTATTTTGTTTATATCTTTCTTCTCCCAACCATATGTATATCCATTTAAATTTTCTTATCTTTTAACCTAACTATTAATCTAGAATTAATTTGATTCAAGTACCTTAATAACCCCAAAAACTTATCACATTTTCTAGTAATCATATCACAACTTAAACTCTATCCTTTCTACACCCTCAACACTGTAAATAGACCCTTAATTCTTCCCACTTATTCACACCAATTCTCTACTTTTCTTCTCCTCTTTTTACACAAATCATCCCATTTATCTTTGAAGCCAACTTTCGGGCACTTCTGCTCAGTTTTATGGGTATTGACGTTTCACAGAAGATTGTTCTTCGAGTTTAGGCTCAAGAATCACTCAATTCGGAGTTATATCGAAGGAGTTACAGCCTCTGCAAGTTCTGCTTATTCTTTCCAATGCAAATCCAATTCTTCTCTTTTCCTTGGTTTCTTATCTTTTCTTATTCTCTTCTCTTATTCAATTATTATTATTATTATTATTATTATTATTATTATTATTATGGGAGATTTATAAATAATTATTATGAGTAGTTTTAATTATATAAAATCAGATTTTTAATAATGTTTATGTTGAAAGGTTCATGTACATATAGTTGGGAGGTTTTAATTTAATTATTTGTGATTATTTGTTAACCTTATATTAATTATGGTTATATTTATTTGTAGGGTGTGTTCAATCAAAGTTCTTGAGATTCTTTTTGTGTGGTTTTTCTAGCAAGGATCAAGGTACGTTTAGGTGGCTAGATACCTTTCAAAGTAATTGGTTTGAATAACATGTTTTACATGATTTGATTCACTACGTGAAAAAATGAATTTGGCACCGGTTCAAACCCGACCTAAGGCACCGGTTTGAACCGGTGCCAATGTGGGGGGTGCCAAAAGTGGTTTAAAAAGGCACCGGTTCAAACCGGTGCCAAAAATCGAAATTGGCACAGGTTAACCGGTGCCAAAAAGGCCCACTAAAAATTATTTCAAAGTTTTTGGCACCGGTTAACCGATGCCAAAAAAACCCCCAAAAATCATTTTTTTTTGTCTTTTTTTACTTAAAAATTAAATAAACTAAATTAAATAAAAACACAAAATATAAATCAAACATCACAATTAATATAAACGATTCTGTTTAATATATATATAATCAATAAAGTTTTATTGCATAGATCAATAAAAAAAATTACAACATATAAATAAAAAAAAAACCCAATATAAATAAAAAAAAAATATTACAACATCACAATCTAAAAATCCCCATATTCTTGACTCTTGATTCTTCGATTATGTATACCTGCACCAATTAAAACATCAAAAATAAATTGATTAAAATGAATAAGCTGCGAAAAAAATAAAAAAAAACCCAGAAAAAAAAAATCGAATTAAAATCGATTAAAATAAAAATAAAATCGAAAAAACCCAGAAATCAAAAAATCAAAACAAAATCGAAAAAATAAAAACAAAATCCCAGAAAAAAAATAAAAAAAAACCAGAAATCATAAAAATAAAAACAAAATCGAACAATTAAAAAACCCAGAAATCAATTAAAATAAAAACAAAACCAAAAAAAATTGAAATCGAAAAAACCATGAAAAAATCAAAAATCAAAATAAAAAAAAAATCAAAAATCAAAATAAGACAACGAAAGTAAAAATCGAAACACAAAAATCAAAATCGAAAAAAGAGAAAAACAAAAATCAAAAATCAAAATTCAAAATCAGACAACAAAAGTAAAAATCGAAACACAAAAATCAAAATCGATAAAAAAGAAAAACAAAAATCAAAATCGAAAAACAAAAATAAAAAATTGAAAAACCTAGAAATCGAAAAAATACAAACAAAAACGAAAAAATAAAAAACCCAGAAATCAATTAAAATAAAACAAAAACGAAAAAAAATTGAAATCGAAAAAACCCAGGATAAATCGAAAATCAAAATCGAAAAACAAAATTCAAAAATAAAAAATCAAAATCAGAAAACATAAACCCAGAAAAAATCGAAAATCAAAATCGAAAAACAAAATTCAAAAATCAAAATCAGAAAACAAAAGCCCAGAAAAAATCGAAAATCAAAATCGAAAAACAAAAATTAAAATCAGACAACAAAAACCAAAATCAAAATCTGAAAAACAAAAATAAAAACCGAAAAAAAAATCAAAATTGAAAACAAAAAATCAAAATCGAAAAAAATAAATCTATTACAATCGAGTTAAAAAAAACAGAAATCGACAAAAAATGAAATCAAAATCGCATAAAAAAAACCTAAAGTGAAATCGGAAAAAAAAAAACCCAGAAATTGAGGGAGGAGGAGATGTGTTCGTGGTGGTCTCCGTGGTGGTGTTGCATGTGCTCGCGGTGATCTCTGTAGTGGTGTTCGTGGTGGTCTCCGTGGTGGTCTTCGTGGTGGGCTTGAAGGAGAAGGAGACGCGGTAGCTTAGTCTTGAGGGAGAAGGAGGAGATGAGAAAGACTGGTTAAGTGGAGCGAAAGAGGAGGAGAGGAGAAGAGGAGAGAGAAAGAGTAGGAAAGAAGAGGAGAGGAGAAGCGGCGAGAATGAAGAAATAGGGTTTGGGGGGTATAAATATGGACGAGTTTTTTTTTTTTTGAAAAAAAAAGTTTAACCTTTTTTTTTAATTAAGGAGCGGTTCAATTAGCACCGGTTCAAACCGGTGCCCTTTTAGTTTTTGGCACCGGTTTGGTCTGAACCGGTGCCTTTTATATTTGTGTAAAATGGCGCCCAAATTTGGGCCGGTTTAGGGCACCGGTTTGGCCTGAACCGGTGCCTTTATGGGGGTGCCTTATTGTATTTTTCTACTAGTGATTGGTGATTGAATTAAATTGATTTTGAAATAAATTATGTTTGAAGGTATTTATTTTAATAAAAGTATTTGAATGATTGATTTATAAATCATGTTTTGAATGGTTTGGATTACTTATCGTGTTTAAATAATATTGGGAACTATTGGATATTGAAAGGATTTATTGAACCATTGAATTATTATTATTATTATTAATGCTTTATACGCATGTTAGTAATCCCACTATGCGGATTTGATTTATTGATAAGGCATTGGACTTTGTATGACCGAGTCTTTCCTCAAGAATAGCCTTGTAATATAAAGAGACTAGTTTGGGGGGTGTGCACACTTGGGTGAGGAATTGGATTAAAAGGAATTGGTTCTTAATAAAGGAATTGGTTTTATTTACTATTATTTTGAATATTGAATCATTGGAATCGGTTTTGGAATAATTAGTTTTGAATTTATTGGTTAATTATTGGAATTGGTTTTAAAGGATGTTTGCAAATAAATTGAGTTTACACTATCTTGCACTTATCGCACTTAGCATATTTTGCTAATCCGTATTTCTTATTTGTTTTGTTTGCCTTATTTACCGTAATGATAACCAGTGTTGACTATTTTCAGGTGGAGTCATGAATGAGCATAAGGGAGTCCAGGGATTTGCTTCACCTAGTTTAGGAATGTTGGTCTTGTCTTTATTTTTGAGCGCTCATAATAATGTTACTATTTTTATAAGTATTAATAAAAGAAAGTTGAGTTTCCACTGCAAGTTTTGTAGTTGAGTTAAGTATTTTGAGTAGTCTTGCGTAATCACGCGACGATAATACGCCCAAGTCTATCTCTACGGTATAATTATACATATTATACTGGTATTTCCGTAAAGGGAGATTTTGGGGTGTTACATATTACACGTAGAAAAGTGTAAAAAAAAATAATAAAAATAAAAGTAAAGTGGGTCCCAATCTCAAGTCTTAAGTTAAATCTTGGAATTTCAAGACTCAACTTGAGACTTGCTTGAGATTTTTAAAGAAAAATAAAAAAAGTCTTAAGCATATGCCTTAAGATTCAAATTGTTGATGTCACCCCAAGTCTTAAGACTTGGGGCTAAACTTGCTCTTAGGATTTTTACATGAGATATTA